TGCACAGCTGGCATTGATCACTTTGCTCCTCTTGTCAACTTAATTGATAACTGCGTGAATGTGAGATTCATCATGACCAGCTACATCCTGAGAAATACACAAAATATATTAAACCTATTTCCATTCCTGTCTATAAAGTTCTACTGGGGGCAAGTGATATCCAAACCCTTATAAATAAGGAAACCAAACTACTTATAAATTGCTTATACTAACTAAATTTCACAAAATCCCTTATTCTTGGTGTTGAAAGCATCAGTTACTCAAAGCTCCAACTGCCTTTCCTTCCTCAATAAGTAGAATCTTATGTTGTATAGATAAGCAAACTTCTGTTGCTGTCCCCCAACACAAAGTGTAGCTCTGCCTTCCCATAATTTTAAAGTGTTTCACACTCTCTTTACAAATGGATAACACTGGATCACCTACTGTGTCCTTCCCCAATTCCATTTGCCCAGTTCCTTCACTCAGCCTGGCTGAAACAATTAGCAAATCCTACAAATGGGAGAAACCGACCCTTCAGCCTAGTAGACTGGAGCTGCAAAACAATCTGGCAAAATTAAACTTGGATGGACCAAGAATCACTTGGATATATAGGTTGTCAATTGCCTCTTTAGAAAATCAGTTCCAAAGGGACAGTGCCTGGAAGTTTATTTCAACTTTGAGACAAACTTTTTAGCAGGACCCATTGCATTAGTACAAGAGGTAATAGTTTTAAACTGGAGAAGGGCCAATTTAGATGAGATACAAGTAGGATTTTTACAATGCAGGTGAGAAAACACTATAACAAGTTGCCCAGATGGATGGTAGACACCCCATCCCTGGAAACTTTCAAGGTGAGAGTTCTGAATAACCGGATCTAGCTGAAGATGGCAATGGGATTGGACTAGATAGCCTTTAAAGGTCCCTTTCAACCCAAACCTTTGTTTGATTCTATGATTCAGATTCTCTTATGGTTGAAATACCTTTGGTTTGCCTTTGGAAAGAAATCTGTAACCCTAGGTGCTAGAATCTTCAGGTGACTACTCTGTCAGACTCATTTGGGGACCTCTTTCTGCACGTAATTTGGCCATGCATGACCTGTTTTCTTCCTCTCTAAATTCCCCTAGTTTTATTCATAGGATTTCAGTGTACAGTTAACAGTGCTATTGAAAAAGCTGAATTATGAACATCATGAACTTCCCTATGGCAGAGCAGAGAAGATAACACAAATTAAATGAAATACAGAAATCTTGCTTCTGCTGTTCGGAGCAGAACCAAAGTGCTCTGTTCCTCAAAGAACAGCACCTGCTCATATAAAGTGTCCTTATAGAAAGCAGCAGGAGCTGAATTTAGCAAGCAGTCATTGTTAAAATAAAAGATTGTTCCCATTACACCACTGAGACTTGTGCCAGTTGGAATCTATAAGGTCAAGGAGCCTCCTGTCAGCATCAACAGTGCTTCTCCTGATGGATGCTGCATGCTTAAACATCTTCAGCTCAGGCAGCTCAAGGAATCTTGGAGGAGCAAGAGTGCTTTGTTAGGCAGGTTCAATTAAACTCCAAACATGCTCCAACCTTTCATTAAGGTAAAGAATGGGAGAGGCAATAATAGAAAAGCATTTCACAGCACAGTATTGGATAAGAATAGACTTGCTAAGTTTACATGGCACCTTCCCCAGATGTGGTTTGCTAGCCTGCTGACAGTGCAACTGACGTGTTCCTGATGCTGCTATCCACATTACTTCCAAACTTGGCTGTACTTTTAGAAGGAAACCCAAGTCACAGTTGCTGAACACAGCAACTGTTGTGACAACGTGCCCTTACGTAACCCATAAGAAGCAGGAGTTCAGGCAGAGGAAACATGGTCAGTTGTGAACACTGAGCACTGAAAGATTTAGATCTGAGGTCGCTCACCCCTTCAGATATTTCTGGAACCACCATGCTCCCACTGAAGCATTGCTTTTGTTTTCTCAGCTCTGTCTCCCAAGCCATAATTCCATACTCTCCAGCAAAGCCTTCATACCTGGACACCACCTGCCTGCGCTAAAGCTCTCTTCAGTCTGCAGCACACATATTATCCTGGCACTCCCCTTACAGGAGTGTGGGTACAGACAGCAGTGATAGTGTCGTCCACTGCCACAGCACAGGAGTCACACATAAACATCCTGCCAGTCTTATTACAGGCAGAAAGAAATACACTTTGTAAGAAAAGACAGGTTCATTGTAAGAAAAGACAGGTTCATTTCTGGTATGCTCGAAATCTTAAATGTGTGATTGAAGAATGATTCATCTCTATTATTAAAGAAAAAAAAAAAAAAAAAAAAAGAAGTGATAGTACAAACCTTTCAATGGAAAAGCAGTTATAATATTTATGAGCTGTTTCTCTTCCTGGGATCTCTGTTATCCAGAAGTGCCCCTTCTCCAGTCATCCCATATGAGTAGTCCTCTACACCACATCCTGTGCCTCAATTTTCAGGGCCCCTGCACGTATCCCTCTGTGACATAGCACTCAAGAGTCAGCAGTATGTTGTTCTACACAGTAAACCTGCTCTAGTTTTAGTAGTTATATAAAAATATGTCTACAACAAGCAACTACAGAATGAGAAACAAAGTAAACCAAGTAAGACAACAGCCACCTGAACATCAGAGAAGTTTTAACAGCTAAACAAGCCAGAAAAAAAGCTGCAGGCAGGTTAAAAGAAATTCAGACAAAGCAAGTCTGGGTTCTGGGACCCTGCAGGGCTGGAATGAAGCTTCTACCATGCTACCAGCCACGGGAGTCCTGTGTTCATTGGACTGTCAGGAGAGATTGGTACCTGGGGGCAATGTGGGGGAGGTCTCAAGTTTTTTAAAGAAAAATCATTAAGGACAGCTATTTATCCATAGTCAGAAGCACACTTAGTGTCCAGTCTTGGTAAACCTCAGAAATTAACCAAGCTTTTCTTTCTGTATTTTCAAATCACCCCTACTCACCTAATTCAGCCTGACTGGATTTTAGTTTGGCAAATATCATCCTTGTCATCTGCAGTATGATAAAAAACAACCTGCCTGAGGACCAGATATTTGTATAGGATTCAGAGTGTGACTGCAGGACTTGGCATTTAACTCTCAGGCAGCATTACACTCTGTTTTGTATTAAAATACAATTACCAGAATATGGAGAACCTCTGGCAAAATCTATCAGCTCTCTAACAGCTACTGCTCAGTCAGCACAAAACTATACTCAAAACTTCAGTGAAGAACACCTGCAATGCACGGAGGAAAAGAGAGGATGTACAACACTGCAAGTTGCGATACACTCCTGAATAGTTATGCTTACTGAAGTACCCTTATGGGACAGTTTAATGTAAAACACACGTGCATTATATAATACAATTGTGAAATACAAAACTCATTAAAATTATACATGATTTAGCTTAGGAATTATGCATTCAGTATTTGGGTTATTACCACTAAACCACACTGAGTTTGGCCACTTTTCATTGTACAAGTCCCAGCCATACCCAAGACTTCAGGCAATCTGTGCCAATACAACTATTTAATTATAAATGCAACTAATTTAATTGGCTCTTTTGAAAAGTAAAATACTGTTGAGGAAAAATAACAGCAAAAGAAGCACTGACCAATGCCACTGTGCTCACACAGCAAGCAGGTAAACCCTTAAACACATAAGTACAAAACAGTGTCAAGTTTAGCTGTTGGGAGTTCCTCTGCATCATCCTTAGCACGTATTCTCTGAATTATTTTTCAACAACATGCAGTAATCTTTTTCTTAAAAGCTTCTTTTTAACTACATTTCAGTGTCCTCCAACCATTTTACCAACCTTCTCTTCTTTACAGCTGTTAATTGCTCTTGGAAAGCACAAGCATCCCACTTAAGTTATCCAGTAAAGTAAAACTCTGGTAACAGAAGAGCCAACAGCTTTCAGTTCACAAAGCTGCAGGTAAAGAACCTAAACTACCTCTTTATTGTAAGTTTTGATCATGAGTAGACACTCCAAATGTTAACTGCTTTCACTATGGGCAGAACATTTAAAATTTCAGTTGTTTATGTACATAATGATATAACCTGATTAGAAGGCATTCCTTATAATCCTGAATTAAGTCCCTTGGGGTATAGAAGCACACTGCATCAACTCTGCCTTGTTATACACAAGCCTGATTTACAATTAAGGATGAACAAATTAGGAAAAGCACATTAGGCTAGAAGAATATTGCAGTATCAATATTTATCATAGGTTTAAATCACATTTCAGAGAACAAGTTTCTGGACTAAAATAATTTCATAGACCATTGTAAGGTAAAAGAACTGCCTCTAGGTAGCTTTAAATGAATTTTGTTGCAATGCAGCTTATATTAAAATTTAACAAATAACTAATTATTCTAATACTTGTTTCTAGTAGATAACAAAAATATTTTATTCAAAAGGATGCTTCATTTTTTTTTCTTAAACACTCATTTGACTGTGGATTAGTTTGTAATGTCTGTGACAATACCTTGGTTACCCTCTGGTTAAAACATCTACCCAAACTTCGGGAAAAGTCTAAGTATTTATTACCATAGAAGAGATCATGCTTCAAGAGGTGAATCCTTTTCTGCACTGAATGAATGCCAGAGGTTTTGGAAAGTATCTTCTTTTTCTAAGAAACCAGAAAAAAAATCAAACCAACAGTACCTTCAGCAACTTTAGAAACAGCCACTGTAGCTGGAATTATTCCACTTTCTTTAAGTTTGTGACAGCTCAGAATTCTTGGACTGAACTACTTCTGTGAATGAGACAGGCCCCCATCTCAGTAACCAGATTCAGATTTCTGCAAAACTCATATCCTGACTGGCCTGTAGCTTTAAAAAGCAACAAGCAAAGAAAGGAACTACAGGTGGGGAAAAACCCCTTGGCGATGCAGTTTCCCTCCTAAACAGACTCACATGTGGAAAATGCCCACTTACATTCTACTTCAATAACTATGCTGCAAACCAACAGGAAGTTCTCACCCATAACAAAAGGACTCAAACACAAACCCCAAATGCAACCAGCATGTAATAAGAATTTTATTGGATACATTTAGAAAAAAACTAGAGCATGAAGACAAGAGATTAATTTATGCGTGTAAGTCTTGTGTATGTGCAGAATCAAACAGCCATGCGAAAAGACATCTCCTCTTCAGCTGTAATTCAAAACTCTTATAATGGCAAAATTATTACCACCCTTAAACAGTGTTCCAGACACATTCATTATTTTAAATAGATCTCCTTCCTGAACAAAACTAAAAAAAAATTTAGTAGCAAATTGGGAAATACCATTATCATTAACAGATATAGTATTCAATCAATACTCATGCCATGTTTAAAGAATGCAAGCCAAAAATGCATCATTATGTAGAATAGGTATATTTTTTTTTCCAAGGCGAAATTCCTAGTAAAACTGATTCCTAAACTACTGAAATGGTGACTTGATAATGTACACAATCCAGAATACCATCCAATGGAAGATTTTTTTGTCAAGTTCTATCAGCACCTAAGAGTCAGAGTAGCTGATGAGCCCTGTGCTTAGCAGTGTATTAACATTTCACATAAATTCCAATTCCTCCAAGAAATGTTGTTACGGATACAAAATCATAGAATTGTTAAGATTGGAAAAACCTCTAGGATCATTAACTACCAAGGCAGCACCACCATGTTCACCATTAAACCATATCCTTAAGTGCCATACCCATGTTTTTTTCAACACCTTCAAGCATGGTGAGTACACTGCTTCCCTAGGCAGCTTGTTCTAATGCCTGATAACACCTTCCATGAAAACTGTTTTTCCTAACAATCCAAACCTCCCCTGGTGCAACTCAACACCATTTCCTTTCATCCTATCACTTTTTACCTGGGATGTAATGTTTGGTACGAAATATGTAAGATGGGAAGATGGGCTTACATATGGAGGAAAAGGTTATGATTTCTGTTATAAACTTGTATACCCATGCAATTGTTCATATTATAAAGGGATCATGAAGGTGAATTTGTATATGCACCTGGACAGTCAGTTCTGACCCATGTAACACGCTTGCCTACAGGTGTGATGTTGGGAAGGATGGATAAATATAATTGCCTGGCAAAAGATTTACAATAGTACAGCCAGGATGAAAACAATCCCCTCTACTGGCTGGACAATACCCTTACACCCTTACCTACAGATAGGTCCAAAAGTCAAACGGACTGTTCCATCTCAACCCCCAAAATGTATGGTTCATTCCACATCTGTAACCCTCCCCTGAAACATCAAGTGTATGTGACCCCATTGGCCCAAGTCTTGTTCCAGCCCACCTTGAAACCCCCTGATAAGGGGTCTCCGATGGGCCAGACGCCCTCTTAGACCTTCCCCTCTCTTGGATCTTCCCCTCTTAGAACTTCTCCTCTCTTAGACCTTCCCCTCTCTGGGAACTTCCCAACAGTGCAACACATAAACTCATACTGAAACACACTACAGCTCTTAAACACTTATTTATAAAAATATAGTTAGACTGTATCAATTTAATTTGATAAATACAGCACAACATCTGAGAACATGAAGAAAGGATGAATTTGACACCGAGTATGCCTGTTCATACTGGTTTGCAATTTAGTATCATATTATTAGACAGGAGAATACCCGTGATCAAATATCACTTTGCTTACTTGACAAATCTTGCTTTTGGGAAAGTATCTTGATTGGATTAGTACACTACAGTTGGCCTTACCGTCTCTCCACACTTGCTAATAAAAGTTACAGCTAAGCCAATATTCTATCAAAGTGTCTGCTACCACTATGCATGTCAAGATGTCACTGCGTGAAACACCAGGAACAACCCTTGGTGTGCTGAAGCCTGTTGTGAGCAACTGCTCAAAATATGCAAATTCACTAAGTGATACAGCTCCTGCAGCTTCAGGATAGATGCAGACATGTGGTTATAGGAAACTGCTAAGAATTGCTGCAGTTAAACAGACAGTTTATGGCAGTCTAGGCCATCTGAAGGTTTACACTTTTATTTTGAAAAGCATTCCAGGGCACAGAAACTATGCTGTTATTGTGCAATCTATACTTTCTTGCCTGACTAAAGCTAGTGGGGTGTTCATGGGTTCTTTGATTTGTTTGCTTGCTTTTTTAAACAGGTACGTTTTAAAAGTGGTTGTATTGCCACTGATGGGGGGAGTCATTACAGAACACCTGAAGTATCTTTAGTTTTGTGCTAAAAGTATGAACAACAGGAGAAGAGCAGGAGGAATGAATAAAAAGCAGAAGCAAAATTGGAGATTGTGTTTACAGGAGCTTTCTCCCACTTATGGCCAAGGTGACTAAGCTACCAGTAGAACATAGCTTGAAAAAGTGTAACAAGTAGTTACAAGACCCCAAAGCCTACAGCATTCACAGCAGATGGCCTATTCATCCACATTTCTCACCATTTAGGGTTTAGAACACTAACATAGAATATGACTAATTTAAAAACAGAAATTCTGTTTTCCCAAGGAATTCCATTTTCCATGTAGTTCTTTAAAATAGGTTTTACATTATGTAGACCTACTGCACATGAGGATGCAAATTAAGAGAAAATGTTTTCCACATTTTTTTAACATAATTAGGGTATTTATATATCCATATGGATAGACACATTTGAACTTGCTTGTTAAACAAGAACTTTATCCTGGCATTTAAGCACTACTAATTTTGCTGTCCAAGTTCAGAGTTCTGCACACACAAACACAGATGGCATGCTAGTAGCTATAGCTATCTAGAATTTTTCATCCACTGATGTTCTCAGTATCACACTAATAAGTACTCCACTTGTTGGTTCAGAACACATCAAGGAACATCTGTTCCACTTTTAGAGGACCACCTGGCAGGCACATATTTAATAAGCTTGTACCCTATCACTTTGCAGTACCTGACATTTTTAGGTTTAAAAAAAGAGGAAAAAAAGGGCATTATTAGAGGTTAACAGAATCTATATGGCAGAACTTAGAGCTGAATTTTTTTAAAAGGGCCCAAGGGAGCATATAAATATGCTCAAACTAAGTAATTGAGGAAAAATTATCTTGAAATTAAGATAGAGAAGCACCAAAACAATTTTATATATGTATACATATATATATATATATATATATATATGTATTTGTATCACCAGTGTTACCTTCTTGGTGTTCAGGGATGGTTTCTTTGGTAATGTATTTCCTACTACTTTAAGCATGAAGTAGGACTTCAAGTACTGTTAGAGACAGAAGTCTGAGTCAAATCATACCTATTGGAAAACAGCAAGATTCTCAGAAATCTGTATTTCACTTCAGAATGCCTTTACTACACCATGTGTTTCTCCTGAAACTATTCCAGGTCTGTCAAGGCTGGTAGATGAGCATCCACGCATTTTAACAGTCCAGAAGACCTCTTGTTTACATATACAGGATTAGGCACAATAAATAATGGTGTGCATTTTTTATTACTTTAGTAGGAAAACATTTTTATTTCAGCTGCAAGCCAAAATTAAGGAACTATTCCAACCAGAAATAGAAAGTAATGTTACTGTGTGTGTTGCTGCGTGAATTAAAAAAAAATCCAATTTTTACAGCTATCCTGTTTTCAACTACACACCTTTACTGATAAACTGAAAATAAAACTAAGATCTTGATTTCTAATTACAGTCTGCTCAGAAGGTACAGTATTCTTTTAAAGTATTTGATTCAAAGGTACAATTACAATTTGAGACAGATATTTTAAAGCATGTTGTTTCTCCTAAGATTTGTCCTGTATATAACTACAGTTCTTAGATGACCATTCTCAGAGTCAAGAGATACACACATCTAAGTGGAAATTGTTTCACCAAGACACCTACAGTGTGTCCTGGCTTCTCCTACTACACATATCCATCTACTTTGAGTCTTGATATCTTCGATGTTGTAAAATAGGACAGACTATACATTCTAAAGGCTGCCAAATATGTACAGCACTTTGGTAATTTTACAAGTTTCCTGTTAGCATACTCTTCACAGCTGAAATGCTGTTATACAGCCATTTCACTTTTATATTTGCTTTTATAATTAACTATTCAAATAGCAAATGTAAACAAGTAAAAAAAAAAATCCCTTCTTGCCACCTTTTTAAAAATTTTAACCTGATCTGCTTTGATATATGAAAGACAGCAGGAGTCAACAAGTACTGAAATCCTTGGAATAACACCGTTCATTTCATTCCTCCATAGCCAACGGGTAATTGAAAAAACCCTTTGCTTCAGAACATGGAAGTCTACAAGTGTACAACTTCCTATTTTCTGTTAATGTAACATTTTACTCTAGATGTAGAATTACATGCTAATCAGTTCAATCTCAGATTTTTGTATCTGCATTACTGTATGCTTCATAACAGTGCTGAATTTAACACAGGCTGCCAAATGCATCTAGTGTAAACAGAATGGCTGAAAAACAAAGACACTCACTGTGAACAGAGAGCACATCTACTGGGATAGTCAGTGCATGGCAGGGAAGGTTGCAAGCAAAGGGCAATAGCTGTTTTACTCTAAATTCCCATGGAGACATTACATCTAGCATAAACATACCCAGGGGAGCAAGAGCAGAAATAACTGTTACCCTGTCAAGTATACGCCCCCATTTACTGTGCGTCAAATTTCTTTCTAGACGGGAACAGATGAACTAGCATTAAAAAAAAAGAAACCCATATAAAAGTTAAATATTTGATTACAGTAGCAAGTCACCACTTCATCATGGGAAATAACTTGTCTCTTGGAATTGCTACTGATCCGAACTCTCCTTTTTCGGTTGTGTGTTGGATACTGGTAACTCCAGACTCGCCCATAGCAGGGGCTCTGCTTTTCTCATAGTGAGCTCAATCTTCGTAGCAGTCATGTTCACGTAACTCCTCTTTACATCAATCACCTGAAAGAGTAAAGGTATTTCACACTTCAATTTAACAGACTGATAGACACTAGGGAATTAAGTTAGGGAGTACCTCATCACTAAGTTTCAGTAGATGTTTAGGTGAAGATCCCTCTAATATCTTGAAAACAAGATTGTTTCCCATTCCCAAGCTACAGAATATTTATGGCATAAACATATGCCTATGCATATCTAACATACACTGGCTAACGTACATAACCAAGGGTTTTCTACAATGCCACTACCACGGTGTTGGGATCAGAAAGGACCTTGGAAGGCCACCTTCTGTACAAAGCAGTGCCCATAAAGTCACACTCCTGGGTCATTATATTCAGATTTAAATGTAATTACTCAATGTCATACAACAAAAATTCTTCCAAAAAACAAAGTAGTGAGGAAAACTAAATCATTTTGAAAGAGAGGAAGTTAATGGCTTATGTTTCAATTTCCTTCTGGGGTTTTTTGGTTGGTTTTTTATTTTTTAATAGAAAAAATATTTTTATACTTACTCCCCATAACTTCACGCTACGATGAAACTCTTTTTCTCCTTCAAATACAATATGGATATTTACCTTAACAGAAAAACAACAGAAAATAAGACAAGTTTATCATGTTAATAAAACACCTGACACCTCAAGCACGTTTAAACAGAATATACCATTTTAGAATTTGGCTCCCACAATGACCAAAGTGATAAAATTGGCCCTCAATTCAAATAGAAGTGAGTATCTGCACTGGCAGCTTATCATTTTAGATAAAGAAATCACAGAGGCATTTTGATACCTGTTTATTATTAGTAGCTGTGAAACAGCATACAATGAAGAATGGTATCAAATTACATTAAGTCAAATATAACTAAATGATGACTCTACAATTATTTATACATATGGTGATGCAAACCCATCATGTTTGGGTTTTAATTATGGAACTCAAATTAAAGTTTTTTTTTGGCACACTTTATTGCGGCTTTTAAAACCCCCACACATTAAAGTGCAGATGTCCAAACAGAAGGGAGATAAAAGCTATACATACTTGAACAAACACAAATGCCAAGAAAAAGCCATTACTCAAAAAAGAGTCTTATGCTATCTCTGCCTTGTAAATAAAGCTGAGCAGATTTTCCTAGGTTGAAGTTGCTGATTTTAAGGTAGAGGCTCACCATCGTGCTATTAGCTTCTACGTAGCTCTGATCAGGGACAGAGTTTTTAGCATATACAGAAACAGTCACTTCTCCTCCAGTCTGGTGCCAATCATGCCTGCACGGAACTACTTTTGTACCCTATGGAAAAAGGTACATGAAAAAAAAGACTTAGAATTACATTTGCATATTTTTTTACAAGATTAACAGCATAAACGCCCAGGACTTTTTTTAATAGCCAATTAGCATAGCTAATAAAGGACTATATTTCATCTTTACGGAAGACTGCAAGACTCCATTTGCAATTCTTTTTACTAAGTATTTCAGTATCTCCCTCTCAAACTACACAAAAAAGTGTTACTTGGTGGATAAACTTCCTTTCCAAGACTACAGTTAGCCAGCAGGTTATAAAAAGGAACTGAACAAAAAGAAAGAATGCCATGACTCCAAAAATGCTTCATAGTCCTGCAAAAAAAAGGTATTACCCTCTGTTCTCTGATGCAGATAGAGTAAACTGTGAAAAAACCCTCAAAATAAAAACAAAAAGCTCAAGTAAAAAAAGCCCTTGCTGGACAGAAGTCCATTATCTCAATACACATAAAGATAATATACACATGGTTTCTTTAAATGGGGGAAATTCTCTACTCTCTTCTTCTACACTCTTCTGCTTTGGACTCATGTCTTCAGCTTTTTTTAATCCCTACTTTCTGCACTTGCAAATAATTCTTGAACAAAAACATAAATATTCAAAGCAACCAGCAATTGTAAGATTTAAAGGAAGTAAAGGATTTGTGAAGCAATTGCTTTGGAATGAGGTAATGAAACGACACTTTTTATAATACATATTTATTTTCTTCTGTTAAACATTCCTGATGTTTGTAGTGTCAAACCCTTTTTGTCTCGGCAACAGACAATACATTCATAACTAGAACTTTGTGTTCACCTGTATCCATCATGTGACCAAATAATGTTTTTCAAGTGTTTTGGTCCATTATTATATTCTATAATATTCTTAAATATACAGGTATACCTGTACCACAGACTACTTCACCCTCCATTTCTCAGTTTTCCTGCTGTGCACATTATGTATCCTCCACATTATGTCAGAAGTAGTGATCTGCAATGGCTCAGCTACAGTAATAACTCAATCAAGCTACAAACTACATTTCAGTATTCCAAATTCAGAATGGCCAGTTACAGAACGCAATCTTAACGTTACTTACTGCATCCTTTTTAGTCCACACATGTGTTCCTCTTGTGCAGCCTTCTTGAGCTAAAAATGTATTGAAGTCAGAAGTTTTTCTTTTGCAACAGCTCCAATACTTCATCCTGAAAGTTTGCAAAGTAATTAACAAACAATATTTAGGACACTATTTACTGTGAACATTTAAAATATTTCCTTTATGCAATATTACTGTTACTTCCGTATACCCCCTTCAAGCATTGCCATTTTTTGGCAGAAGAGGGAATAGAGACTAAATCAAGGCTACATCTAGCAGGAACACACAAGAAAGCAGGAAGACACAACAGACTAGATAAAAAAACCTGAAGTTAACTGAATACTAACCCTTCACAGAACACAGGTACAAAAATGGAAGTTAGCTGAATACTAACCCTTCATGGAATATAGGTACACCAGAATGGTATATACATACTTCCTCTGTGCTGTGTGGTCCTTCGTATGTCTGGTGGGACAAAGCATTTAAAGTGAATTACTGTTACAGGATTTGGAGCAAAGAAAAAAATAAAACATAACATGACAAAAGCCAGAAATAATGACCAAAGTATGACAAAGCTTCTGGGTAAGTAATCTAGATCTAATGGCTTGTCCTAACTTTCCCCGGTAACTGTTCAACCTTCCTTCACAGAAAGTTCTGGCACTGCTGAGTAGCTGTCTTTATATTAGTTCAATGGCACACATCAATGGTGACATCATCTATGCTCACAAAGGTCACTGCAGATCCTCAGATTTCTGTCTTTAAAATACTCTGAGCATTCAGAGAAAACAAGAACTTGAAAATAAATTAAATTTGTCATTTCTAAAACACATGGATTCTCTACAGAAAGTAAAATAAACAATATACAAATTAGCCACAGAATATCAGATCAGTTCTTCCCAACACAAAGACTGCCAAAAGTTCTCCTCCCACCAGAGCTTTGGTAGATAATGCAAAATCTGCCAGATAAAATAGCTATTTAAATTTTACCGTCCCATTTTGCACAAAACAAGCCTGTCAGTGTAACTTTTACTTTAAATGACTATGTAATATAATGACTAATTTTGGTGCTAGAAGTGTTAAACACTGACATTTTAATTCTTCTTGCAGGAAGCATTAACTGCTAAGATCTGTAGATGCTTCTGATCTATACACATTATCAAGAGCAACATAATTGTTATCAAGTAAGCCACCTCTCACCAATATTATATTTTATTTAATATGCTAAGTTGAAAAACCTCAGTACCATGGATTTGACAAGCTTAATTAGAAATTCATGACAGGTTTAGGAAAAAAATAATCTTCGACTTTCTGTGAACAACTCACATTTGTCCATAATAAAGCATGTTATCAAATGTGCATTTGTTAACCCTAATGGACTTTGTGCCTTTTCCAAATTAACTTCTAGCACACAAAAAACCAAAATGCTCACTTTATAGCTGAGCAGCTGCATTTAGAGTACAACTGAACCACTTACTTTTGAACAGCCTGAATTTTTACATGCTGTCCCAATCTTGATTTCATCACCATCTTCCTCTGTAAACAGATTATTATAGAAAATAGCAAATGAATTGTATAATCGACTGAACACTTAGCTTTTATTAAGGAGCAAACTGAGCTGAGGAGATTAGAAAAACCTTCCTCTTCAAGCTTCTATTTTCTGCCTGACAGGGAAATCTGCCAGAGAGGTACAGAGAAACATTTGAAAAGCTGTATTACCTATGCATCAAATTCTATACTGTCTATCTTTACACATTTTAAGTGAGGCAAATAACAAAGATGAGAGGATCATTACAATCACAGGGGAAGTGAACAATCATTCATCTTGTTCAGTTTTATAAAACTAAGAACGTAAAAGGCTTCAACTGTTGTCTATAAATACATACAAGGAAATAACTTGGATACCATACAGAAGAGCTAAATTAGTTTGGCACAAGAAAAAAAGAGCATAAAATAGCCACAAGCGTAGGTTGAAATAATAAAGTTTCTTAAGGAGCAGTGTAGTTCTGGAAGCAAATTCCAAATAAAATGTGGGAAGAAAGAAGAAAAACAGACAAGGGAGGACCAGCTAGTGTTCTGAGGAATTTCACCAATTTATGAAGGCTTTATATGATACTATCTCTGCAACAATAGGGAGTAAAGTTTATTAATGTCAGTCACATTCAGAAATGGATGTTCCCATTATGCCCATTCTACCCATGAAATCTTAGAAAAGACACAGTTCAAATAATGCTACGGACAATGAACTGCTCCTGACAAGCAAGTCTCCATGTTATCCACATTTGGACTGCAATCATCATTCCTGGACTGGAAGGTATTTCCCAGATTATTAAGAAAAAGAACATAATTATAGGAAACTATCACTTCAGAAATGACAAGATCTGCATTTCATTTATTTGTGCGACACTTAGCATCACATACCTACTTAATCTCCCTGTCTCCTTACCTTTTCTCCCTTCATTTTCTGATGACAGTTTCAGTTTATCAAGAGCTTGTTTCAAGGAAGCTGACACTTTCAGCTGCAAATTTGTCATTGGCTCATCTGGGCTAAAAAAACCCATGTATTAGTGTCAACTCAATAAGAAAGAATTTATAGAAGACAAATCAGTAACTTTTAATCTTCCTACAAGGCTCTTCCTTTCAAACCTCACTTCAACAAACAAATTACATTTGTAAATGCCAATCTGTACTGTTTATGAAAAAGCAGACTAGAAACTTGGAAGGCAGTCTTGGCTTTCAACTGGAAATCCTAAATATTCTACAAAAATAAAAATAAATCAGAGATTCTAAGGAATCTAAATACAAGCACCCCAAAATTAATTTTATTACTATTTAAAACACTTAACACAGATTTTAGTGCCATTTGCCATTTTAAGCTATGAAGTTACAGACTTCAATTTTTGCTTCTTGTGGATTTAAGTGCTGAAATATCGAGTACTTCTTTGTCATAACCAGATTATTTTCTCCCATTTTGAAGCTTAAGATAACATCATCACTTCTACCAAAACCAAGGTCTTCTAAGGTCTTAATTTCAGAATTTCTACACTACATGAAACGTACAACACTGAAAAACCAAGCAAGCTTTAACTTGGCCAACTGACTACAAATCTGGAAAACCTTAAGTTTCATATACCGTACCTTGGTCTCTTAATTGTTTCCAACGGTTTTGGTGCTTGAATTATGTGTTCTTGAAATTTGGGTTTCAGTTCAGCTAGCTCCTTTCGTTCAGAGGTAGTTTTGACTTTTGGTTTAACAGGCTCAGGAGGTTTCTCACTGTTATGGAGACCCTTTGTACAGCCCTATTATGGAAAGCATATGTTTTTATTTATATATAAATGCAGTGTAGTTTATATGCATTAAAAATTAACAAAAACTGCAACAAGTCTTCTTGACTCATTTCTTCAGCTCCATCTTTTCCTTTATTCCACTATAAACACTGGATGCAAAGGAAAAACCTATGCCTAAAGAGGAAAATATTCTCATTTTGGACATAAGTTAAAATAAAAATGCATACTTTCTGTAGTCAAGCAAAGCAGCAATACATGTTGACCATCCTTCTTTATTAGCAAGTTCTGTCAAAATCTATTTTGATAATTTTAACAATTAAAGCTTGAAAATGAGACTCGACTTCATTACATGAAGCCTTGAGCATTATATGAAGAAAAATAGAGTATATAACAATTAAGACAGTTTTAAGAGAAGTAGGCAAATTTAAAACATGTAAGCACATACACCATTTAATATTAATCACAGTCACTTGACAAGAATAGAAATCATAAATATTCATGAGTACATACCACAATGCTTAAGAAGTCAGAAAAGTCTGTTGTTCTCCTCTTACAACATGACCAACCCTATAAACATTTTGGAAGAGAAACAACATAGGCATGACTACCAAACTTGACAACAGATTAAAAAAAGCACAATATTTGTTATATTTCTTTAAAAGATAGGGCACATCAAGATTAGCAGTTTTCTTCCCTACAGTGGACAATATCGTCATCTGCAATTTTAAAAACCAGAGAACTCTTCTAGTTTGCTGACGCTGCCTTAATCAGAAAGTTCAGAAATTTGAGGCAATACTTCCATGACAAGTTAGGTGCCAACTCTGTACAACAGAAAACAGAAATGTTACTTCATTTCATAAAATAACACATAAGCAAAACAAATACTACACCTGAGACCAAGCTCACCTGTGGCTCAATGCACAGGCCCTCTTCCAAAAATCATAGGGATTTTTTTTTTCATTTCTTGAGCACCACTCAAATCTTTCAATTGCTTATTTCCCACCAACAGAGCTGGATATATGCATTGCACAGCTATCCAACTACATCAATTAAGAGCACTTTTTATTATATAAACCAGAAATTCAATTTTAGAGCAAATTGCCTTGCTACTGTGAATAATCTACCTTAGAACTCAAAGAACAACAGTTCTCTCTCAAAGAGGCAACAGTCTGACTAATGCACCAACACTCTGAAAGCTTAAGTGGTGCAACACAATCGGTTTATGTAGGATGTTCTAAAATACCCTCAAAACATTAACTATTTCAAAAGTTGAGGAGACAAAGGTTCATCCTGCCCACTTAGATTATCTAAACTCATAACATGAAGAAAACTGCTCATTTGCAATTATGATAAATTTTTAATTAAGATAAGGAGAAGGGGGAAAGTGGTACTTGTTTATAAACAGTGAGTATGTAAGAGAAAGAGGGAGTAAAACCAAGTTTCTGAGCTAACTTTACAATTTTCCCTTGTAGTTATGTAGATTTTTGTACTGTGCTGTGAGTACAGCTATAATTTTGTACACAAAAATTCACCATTGTCTAAGCAACTGTACAGTGTTTGATCTAAGAGTATTTGTCCCAATTTGCCAGTGGCACACAATGGATGGTTCTAGAGTCAGTACTGCATTATAAGCAACAGCTCACACCAAACACATTGCCCAGCACAAATGCAGAAGCTTTCACAAGGCCAAAAGACACCACATTGTTGGGATGAAATGCACTTCCAGTAGAAGCAATTCCTAAGTACCAAGAAAAAAAAAACAACACTTGCTCCCCTCAAAGCTCAGCTAAACAGCAGGTTAGTGTTCTAAGAAAAGTCAATTAGGCTACATCAGTATTAATATAGTGCCAGGCTCCATTTTTGGACACCAGATTTCTAACTACACACAAATTATTAAAATGATTTCCGCTACTGTTTCAGCAGTTGTGTCTGAGATGATTCCCTGTAAGCACTTTGTATGCATCCAGTAGATCCTGAAGAAGGAAAACAGTTTAGCACAAAACCAAGGATGGGCTGTGCAGTTAGCCTAAGCACTGGAAACCCATCACAGGTATATTTAATTCTTCACTGAAGATGGAGCCCAAGAGTCCTGGACAGCTGCATAAGAGGCATGGGTGACCAGTCCCAATTCAACCTCATTTGGCTGATTAAATCAACTGCTGTTATTTACAGCAGACAAATGTCACATACACATTAGTGCCCTGGCCACGTTAGACCACAAGCAGCTGCGCTGAATTCCAAGCAGGTTAATTAATTTAAAGAGTATGAAACCTCTCAATGGCTCCACAGTCCTATTTAGAGGACCTAATTAAACTGCTGAGAGACCTAAAGTCAGTTAATCAACAGGAAACAAGTCATCTAGACTTGCATGGCATTTAGACCATATGAGTGGAGTTTTTAATTCCTTTTTCAGGAATGAGTAACTGTGCTTTTCTAATTTCATGGGGCTGCTCATGACAGGCTGAACATCAGTTTCTCAATACTGAAAGATTGGGAATTAAAAAGATGAAAAACCAAAATGATAATATTTAAAAGGACAGTTGCATACTTACTTTGAGAGCATCATGAAAAACGGGCACACCAGGATGGTATGTGCATGAACCTAGAAGACAATCATTATTATATTGAAGCATACCAAGAATCTTTATTCATATGATTACACACCTAGAAAAAATTCCACATCTGCAATTTGTGTATGCCATGAGCTACCCCACTTCCCTGAATGCACATCATTACTCAGAAAAATCCAGATTCCACAAAAAATGCTCTCTGAGTGCATATATTTCTTCTTATGTATAATACAACACAAACTAGAAAGCAGGTGTCTAAGACAAACTACTGCTTCCACATGGAGAAAGTAAACTTTCTATGGATCACCCCGGCCTTCATCAGTAACCAGGCCTGACTGGTAATTTTGCAGAAGTTAGAAAGTGACCCTATGGCTACCTGACCAACAGAAAATATTGATTTAACACTTCAAATACATCTATTTGAACCTGATCAGAGCTTTCTATTGAGAAGCATTCTGTTTAAAAAGTCTCTTGATGCAAATCATGAGTTTATGATTTGAACCACAATTACCTTGTTCTTTTTTCAATGTTTGTAGTATCCTAAGCCACCTAAGGATGTGAACCCAACGGTTAGTCTTCCACACACACAATTTTGATGTGTCAATACTATTTATGACTAATACATTCTGTACAAACACTACACTGGACCACAGTCTCCATTAATCAAAGTGTTTGTATTTACAGATGTTTTTCAACATTACACAGCTGTTCTCTTTTACTTGTATTCTTTCACATGTAATAAAACTGCTTTGATTATATAACTTCTCACTGCCATTTACTGCATGGATAGTATTTTACTGACTTGACTCTAACCACTACATTTGAACCTTTAAAGCAAAATTAGAATCACTTAAAATTTAAAATTACAAACAGTAACAATGCATATAAAAGGAAGCAAAAAAAAGAGTTATAAATAACTTTATTAGCAATCTGCCTACAGATATTTAATAGGCAAAAATCCAACACAAACTTGGTTGTTTTTATCTTTTTTTATAAATATGTAGATTTTAAAATTAACATAATTTTGTATAATTTTCTTTAATTTTATATTCAGTGCCTAGTCTAAAGCACTAATACAGTCTGAGACATCAGTTCCCACCTTCAATCAAAATGCATATATTTTGGGACATTAGACCTTCAGCAAGACTTACAAATATAGCCATAAACCTTTATCAATTCCTTCAGTTTCAGGATGAAAAGCTAATGCTGGTAAACCTCACAGGAAAATTTAAAAAGGAAAAAGGCAGTTATTTTGGAAGGAGACCAGGACTTCACAGTTGAATCAAATAAAAATAAAAGCAGAGGTTATTCTTTTCCAAAAGTATGAAAGTATGCCACTAGAAGCATCATGAGAATAAACTCTGTTTTGTAGCAAAAATTATTTCTGAGTCAGAAAACTTAAATGAATATTTCTAAGTCTTCACAACCATTCTTCACTAGAGAGATGCTGTTAATAACAGCAACTGTTTTAGAGACCAGAACTATCACAGAATCAACTGTCTCGGGGTGGCTATGCTCCAGCTCAAGGTAGACACAGACAAGTGCCTGGTCATCCATCTGGCCAAGTGCAATCCTTTTTCCTCAATCCCTGGAGCCTGCTCTGCAGTAGGTACCAGATGGAGCAAATGACAGCACACTTGGCTGCTGCCTCCTGAGGGCTCTGTGTGCTCCAGGAGAAAAGATGCCAGGACAAGGACTCTGCAGTGCCTCAGCAGAGCCAGCAGGATCTGAGCAGTCTGACCACTGTGCCTGCTAGAGGACAGTAAAACACCAGCTCCTCTGTGCTCATGCTGAGTCCAACAGCTCTTACCTGACAGAAAGGACCTCTTCTCACACTAGATAGGGAAAACTGGAAAATTAGGGTACAAGCAGATAAAAGCATATTCTAGTTTGGATTTGTATGAGATCAGATTGCTGCGGCCTTTGGTTGCTATCCTACATTTTCATTAAACAAAACAAAACAAAACTACACACCCCCACACTGCTGTTAATATCTTTCCTTTACCAGGAAAACCTAAGTATTTCACAGCCATTTTCTCTAGCCCTCAGGCAATTTTTGAAGACACAATTTTTCAGGTTTTTGTTTCTTTAGAGCTTTTTTGATGTCAATTTCACAGCCAACTTGATCCTACTGTGCACACACTATTATCACCTTACTGCTGCATACTTAAAGCACTTTAACAATCCTTTCATTAGATGTCAAAGTAGAAATTTGTAGGGGTCATCCATATGCAAAACCTTGGTCTTTGTAGCCATCTGTGAATAATTACATTTACCTTCAGAAAAGCTTAGTCTAGGACACAGTGATTCCACTACATGTTCCAGCCACTTACTGAAACAAATTTCATGTCATGAAGTTTTTTTCCCCCAACGCAAACACCACAGAGCTAGCATATGGCCATGCCAACCTGACCTAGTTTACTGTAGCTTAATCACAAATCACAAAGAAGTGTTATTTATAAGGAGTAAAGGTCAAAAAGTCCTACTAGGATATTTTTTTAAAACAATAAATACCCTTATTGGCTTTGCCTTTTGGGGCAAAGGGGTGTCAGGGATGGTGATGGAAGAGATCACTAAATGTAAGCATTCCACAACTATGCCCGCTTCTGCTGTTAGAAACATTAGGAAGTCTACTCAATATGTTGCCCCTCTATGCAAAAACACGCAGCTGAGAAAAAGAAACACTCCTTATTACTACGGTTCTAAACCTCAGAAAATTCACAAGCTAGAACATGTTAGCCTACTTCTAGCCCTAGGGGGTCACTCAAAATTAAATTAACAGAGAGAGCATTCTAAAAATTCAACCAACAGAGTTACTTTATGAACCAGGTGAGACCAAGCCTTCTGAAAACTCAGTTCACCCTTCTGCAGGTCTGCGGAATGATGAAACCCCAAATGACAGAGCTTTTAATAGGCTTCACCAGCATTCCCAGCACACACAAAAGTACTGCAAGCGCTCAGGGCACTTGGAAGAGAAGGTACATGTGTGCAATCCAGACACATTTAATCACTGCTGCAAGTCCACACACAGGAACCAAAACAAACAAACAAACAAACAAAAAGCCAAAACAAAAACCAAACCAACCAACTAACCAAACTAAAAACCAAAAAGCCGCTGGTAACTGCGATGAATGCACCACTCACAGAGGCCCTCAGCAGAGGGCCTGGAGAACCTTTGGCACACATAGCAGCGGCAGAGAGCGCCGGGCCGGCCCCGGCCGCACACGCGTGTCCCGGGGCAGGAGCCCCCGCGGGCCGGGGGACAGCCCCGGCCGGGCCGGGCCGGGCCGGGCTCACACCGCCCGCACAGCCCCGGGCCGCCCCCGCTCCCCGGCCCCTCCGCCGCTCTCACCCTCCGTGTTGTTCTCGGGGTCGAAGCGCTGCCCACAGCCCCGGTTGTAGCACAGCAGCGACATGGCCGCAGCACCGCCTGCCGCGCCGCCCGGGAGAGCCGAGCCCGGCGAAACGCGGCGGAAGGGAGAGGGAAGGAAGGAAGGAAGGAAGCCGGGCAGCAGCCCGGGGGCGGGGCCGCTCCCGCGGCGGAAAGAGCCGGCCGGAGCCTTCCGGAACCTTCACGAAGCTTCGGGGGCCGGCGGCAGCGGGCGGGCGGCCGCGCAGGCGCCGCTGCGGGGCCGCGGGACGGCCGGGGGCTGGGGCCGGGAGCGGTGCCGCGGCCGGGCGTGAGCGCTCGGCCTCCGCAGAATTCTCGTGCTTTTTCTTTTCTTTTTTTTTTTTTTTCCCTTTTCCTTGCATGTGAGTTTGATTTGAAATAAGTGCTCGTGAGTATGTATGAGTTGGCTGTCTCATCTGCATGCAAGCAGAGATGCCAGTGTCGGAAGCTTGCTATGAAAATCACTGATTTACGTTCCCTTAGTTGTCTGAAAGTTTGCTTGGCTGCTCCCGACAGCTGGCCAACTTATATGTACTGTAGAGTGTGCATTGTAGAGGTTGTATTTAAAATCATAGAGCAGTTTGCAGTGGAAGGGACCTGCAAGATCAGGCTGGTTCCAGCCCCACCACAATAGGCGAGGATACATCACTAGACCGCGGTGCTCCAAGCCCCATCTAACCTGGCCTGGAACACCAGGGATGGGGCATCCCCTGTCCCAGTGCCTCACCACCCTCAGACTAAATAATGTTTTCCTAATACTGAGTCTAAAACTTTCTTTCAGTTTGAGGCCGTTCCTTCTCTTGTCACTACATGCTGTTCTAAATACATAACTACAGATACCTACGTTTCTGCACGCAATTACAAACTGATTCCTCCTAGTTAAACATGTACACCACCGCTTTTAAAATAGAATTGCCCAGGTGTTTGTGCAGCCTATGAGAAATCCTGAAGCACACATGCACAGAATGAACAAAAAAAGTGCTTCTTAAAGGGAGGTTCCGGATGCAAAAGGATCACCAGGAGACTGCTTCTGATGTAGCCCTGGTCTTCTGCTAACTTGTGAGTTGATGCCTGATGTCTGCTGGCATTTTTTTATGTGTGGCTCACATAAAGATGCACATTTGTTTGAACTGTTGAATACTTAGTGCTTCCCTCTGATCTGCAGTTCCTATTGAAGTCCCTTGTAGTTTAAAGAAGAAAAAAACCCCATTCTCTTGCTATTTACCAGAAGTAGTTTAATGGATAAATGCAAATGGTAATAAGAGTTTGGAAAGAGAGGGGATACATAAGACTGCTTCTCTTTCTATACAAAGGCATTTAATTATTTCTTTTTTTGTTAGCTGTCTTATAAAATAAGTAGAAGATGAACAAAAATGTTGCATATGTGTATGTGCATCATTACATTATCAATTCTTCATAAGATGAAGAATTGTTCTTAAAACATAAAGTTCATGTTTTCCTGTCAGTGAAAGTACCACATGAAAATAAAATGTAATTCATATCCATAAAATAAGTTTAGTGGTATTTCTGTGACCATGGTTGCATTTCAGCCATAGTGTGCACGCATATAGCCGTTTTAGAAGGAGCCAACATTTTGCAAAAATGCAAAAAAAGTTATGCTTCTGCAGAGGCAGCATCGATTTCTGTACAAAGAATATTTTTTAAAAATTCAAGAGAAGTTATTTTAGCAGTGTGGTATTTTCTGGATTAAAGAGTAGCATTCCTATGACGTTAGTAATGGAGTTTGGTTCAACACTTGTGAAAAGAAAACTACAATCCATGTGTTCCCAAAAAGTATCTTGTGTATATTTCCCACCTAATTACTATCTCACTGATATGGAGACATGCCTTTATATCTTCCAGACAAAAATTGAAAAAGAATGTATTTGTTTCATATTTCAAAATTCTACAGCGTATGGCATTAAAGAAAATTCACCTGAAAACTCTGTTGTTAATTTCAACACACACAGTCAGATCTCTGAAAATTACCGAGCTGTATCTGTCATCTTTGTACATGATGCTAAATAGAATGAGGTGTTTTGTTTCACAGAACACTATAGAAGCAAATAATGGTTTTTAATCAGCTCTTGAAATTGTGTGTATTTGGCACAAAATACTGCAAATTGACAGTATGTAATCCTCATCTCACAGACGTCTGCACAGCTTCAAAAAGGCATTTTCTGTGCTGGATAGGAAGGCATGAGAGGCTTTCAATCCAGTTTTGGAAAGGCAGAAAGGTAGAAGTAACTTGTTCAAATCAGATTTAGATAATCATCTTGTGGGCATGACAGACTTAATTTATTCCTATCTATTTTGTGTAGAAACTTTTCATTTGAGATTCAGAGTATGAGGAATAATGGTCTAATGGATGATCACTGGATTTTGGTTCCCTAGAATTTAAAATATGAAAAATACATAGATAATTTTTATGTGTTGTGTCCTTTATTTTCAGTTTCAAAGTCTTCCAAAATGTTGGATTCCAAGCTTTTATGGTGCCTTTAGTGATTGGATCTTGTATTAGGTGTTATAGGACATCTTATCTGAGAAATAGTGAAAGATTTGTGAGTGTATGCTTTTTATTTTAAATACATCTGTTCTATTTTTCTCATGTCAGAAATGTTACAGTTAAAAAATTTTGGAAGCAGTTCTACCTTGAACAGACATAACACAGGAGAATATACATTCTGGATTTTATGTATGTTCGATAGCAGAGGGATTTATATCCCCCCCACCCCGCTTTTCTTTTTCCTTTTTTTTTTTTTTTTTTCCCACAGAGCTAGATTCTGTGCAAAGATTTCCCTGAAAAAAAACCCACCTTGAATTTCTACCAGTTAAAAGTCATTCCATCTCATCCACAGTTAATGGGACTTAGGTGTATGTCCAAGCATTGGAAATGGCATAGCTTCCCTGTAAATTGAGAATCTGTAAAGAAACAGGATGTTTCAGTTCACTTCTCAAAATGCAGAATCTTTGCAAGTCTGATTTCTTTCCCAGTTTGCTGAGTGAGGAGTCTTTCATCCTGGAGTCTTCAAATCAGGACATTGTTTGTGCAGAACTGCTAAATATAGGATTGCAAAAAATCCCCAAACTAAACCAGCTTTCAATAAATCTGAAGGAGGGAGAGGAGAAGGTTTTCAGTAGTCAAGCTTCCGGTGAGAGCTGTTGCACCACACCAGAATATTTTTGTTTCTAATCAGAGGCAGAGGGCATTTTGGGCTCCTTCAACTTCCTTGGAACAGAGAGGGGGTCCTTGAAATCTAAATGGATTCTGAGGACTCATTTAAAATCAAGGCAGGTAGCTCTGTTTCAGATCTGAAAATATAAAAATGTGAAAGAATTAAACAAAGTCTTTCTTTAGGAAGCTTAGCAGATGCTTAAAAATACAAATGTAAATCCTTTTAAAGCTAAAAGCCAAAAGCCTTTAGAGTTTGCAAGAAACTGTCCTGTTCATCCGAATAATTTCAGATTTGACGGGCAGAACAACTTAAAATGTCACATCTCATGGAGAAGCAGAACAACTGACTTTTTTGGGAGAGAACACTTTTCTCCTTCTGTGAGAGAATCCCTTCTGTGATTTTTTTAAATGCCAGGTTTTCCCAAGGAGGTAAGAGAGATTAAACAGCATCTGCTTCTAATAATCCGCCAGAGTGCTTGCTGCTAAAGCACAACCTGAATTTAAGTAGACGCTTCATTAAGGCTCACCACCTCCTTTGATATCAGACTTTAGCACAGGCTTGCTGTGCGATCATTGGAATTAATTTAAGGCAGAATTTTCAAAGGTAATTTTCTAAGTAACCTAGGTGCCTGCAATATCTAGAAAACACTATAATATTTTAGGCAGTTTTCAGAAGTCTGCTTTCAGGTGCTGCTAAAGAGACTGAAAATTTTGTTACTGAGTTCAGTAGGATATGGGATAATATGTGATGCTTCCCCATTTAAATTTTTCTTTGCCTTTGACCTCACTGCAGAGAGTAAAACCTGTTTGATGCAATATGTACAGCCATTCCCCAGAGTGCTGCTTTGTCGTGACTTGTAGCGATGCATGTATTGTAATGACCTTTTTCATCCTTCCTGCAGCTGAAACAAGATTGAAATGCTACACAATCTGTGAATTATTAAACATAAATGCTATGTTGAAATTTAAAGAATTCAACTCCCTAGATGACAGAAAATAGTAAGATAATTTGTGTAGCTACATACAGCGCACTAATGCTGTGACCCAAAGCAATTCAAACACAAAGTTGATGGATTACAGGAATACAGGTGGGAGAAGAACTGAAACTAAGTCTGCCATCCAAGGGGACTTTAGCAGACTTGAGAGATGGGCCTGCGTAAACCTTATGAAGTTCAGCGAGGCCAAGTGCAAGGTCCTGCACATGGATCAGCACAATCCCAAGCACAGGTCCAGGCTGGGCAGAGAATGGAGTAAGAGCAGCCCTGAGGACTGGGGCACGTTGAGCTAAGAAGCTCAACACAACCTGGCAATGTGCACTTACAGCCCAAAAAGCCAGCCATGTGCTGGGCTGCATCAAAAGCATCATGGCCAGCAGGGCAAGGGAGGAGATGCTGTCCCTCTGTTCTGTTCTGATGAGACCTCCCCTGCCATGTTCAGTTCTGGTGCCCCCAGCACAAGAAAGATGTTGGCCTGCTGGAGCAACAGGAGGAGAGCCATGAAGATGCCAGAGGGTTGGAATGCCTCTTTTTTGAAGAAAGACTGAAAGAGCTGGGGTTGTTCAGCCTGAAGAAGAGAAGGCTGCAGGGAGACCTTAGAGCATACTTCCAGTCACAAGCAGGGCAGCAAGAAAGCAGGAGAGGGACTTACTACACAGACATGGAGTGATGGGACAAGGGATAATGGCTTTAAAGGGAAAGAGGTCAGGTTTAGATTAGGTATTAGGTAGTTGTTTTCTGTGAGGGTGGTAAAGCACTGGAACAGATTGCTCAGCGAATGGAAATGTTCAAGGCCAGATTGAATGGGGCTTTGGGCAGCTTTATCTAGTAACATCACTTCCCATGGCAGGGGACTTGGAACTAGGTAATGTTTAGGGTCACTCACCCAAGTTAGTGGTTCTATGAGTCTCTAGATCAGATATTGAAAAGTTACAGCATAGTAACATGTTCACTTTAACTTGGTGGATATTTTC